TTCACAACCCACCCCCACTCCAACTTCCAGACCGGTCTATTCTAGTTTGACTATATATCAGTGCAGAAACTTTTTATTTACCAATTAATTAAAAAGATGTCAACAACAGAAGACTTGTCGGAGCCAGAGTCTGACCCAGAGCCAGAGGAGAATGAAGACCACCAACTTTTTAAATGGTAAATCCAGGCCTTATTTAGGAGTTCTGTTGCAAATATTTTTGGCGTAGTAGTTCAGAAAACACCATAGAAAATAGATAAAACTAAACAGGTTGAAGAATTTGACTAAAAAAKAACAAGATATCTATGCAGAACCAGGAGAAACAAAATTTAAAAAAATCTGCTCTCCTGGAGACTCCAAGTAAACAACAAAATGCATTTAATGGCTAAAAAAGAGGATTTTGCATAATATGTCCTTTAAAACCATAGGCATGGTAGATTACCAAGTTTAAGTAAAAATGGCTGTTTGAAATTAGYTGGCCAATTAATCAGGTAGCTGTATTTTAAGTGTGTTACCTGTTTAAATGGCAGTAAAATGGGCTGCAAATATACTCAGACTTCATATTTTTTTAAAGCTATTTTATGGATATTGTCTGTATTTTACAGACTGCGGCTCTTGACTTGGAAAACGGGCTGATTCTGATCACAGTCTGATGGATTGATGCTTCCTTGATTCTGAAGTTTGACATAAATAAAAAAATGTTTGCCTTTATTCTGTCTTCTGTCTGACTTTACTGCCGATAAAGATCTCGCCTGTGTTTGTTCTTGGTGATGAAGCAGAAGAGGTTGAAAGACGGAAAACATGGAAGCTGGAACTTTTTGACTTTGGGGTCCTGTTTAGTTTGGCTGCGGGTGGCTGTGGCGTGCCCAACCGAATCTGCTAAAGCAATTAGATGGGACGGGCAGAGGGAGGGAGAGGAGGAGGAGGAGGAGGAGGAGTGACCATTTAAAGGAAAAGGGAGATGTAGCTGTTCCTTCTCGCTGAGATTTGACAACACAAACCTGCTTGAGCACATCCTCGTATTTTAAAAGATCGCTTGCGGAAAACACTGTGGTTTTTGATTATTTAGTCATAGTTCTTTGGAGCGGAGGATGTATTTAAGGCTTTGAGGGCCGTGTACCTCAGAGTCAGATTATGGAGGAGCAACGCCAGATATAATGTGGCTGAGACAGTATGGAGCCCTCCAGGGTTGGTCCTGTCTGTCAGTGTGGCGATGCTATGGTTCGTAAGCAGATGTCATGTCAAAAAGAAAAAAAAAAAGTACATTAAGCTAAAACTTTAGATTTTAGTCAAAATAAAAACATTTAAATTGACTTTAACATAAAAAAGGATATTTTATCATATTTGGCAGAACAAGGGGATGAATCAAATTTTCCTCTTCGGCTCATCTGTTTAATCTTGTCTCCTTCAGCCTTTGTTCTTTTCATTCCTCAGATCATGATTTCCAGAGTAAAACACAAGTGTATTACAACACATGTCAAAAAGGAAGATGATGTCATAAACCGACGTTTCATCCACAGTGACAGATTAAAGCCATGCGATTCGTTAATCAATGTTTTATTGATGCTCGTATGAAGCAAAGAGTGAGTGAGCGTGTAAAAACACCCAATGCACACACATTTTGGAATACACCCTTTCTGACTCCATCAAAAAAAAAGAAGAAAGTTTCCCTTCACGGCTCAGTGGTCCCTAAAGACAATAAGGCTGTCAGGCCAAAGTAAACGGTAATCACTGCTATGTGGATGTAGCTTTTCCTTATTATATCTCACGTCCACATTTTCCATTTCTTTCCTTTGTTCTTTSCTTTTCCTTTTTTCCCCTCTCATCATGAGTGGATGGATTATGGTACAGAACTGAGGGTATTTTTTTATTTTTATCAAAGTTTGACTTTGACTTTTCCTCCCAGCATCAGACTGGTAAGCCTTCATCAACACACTCTTAACCTTCTCATTTAGAGGTCTTATTTTAGCTTCTCTTTATATTGCCACTTTTATACAAAGACACAAAATCCTGTCCACACCGACACACGCGTCTGTTTTTTTCTTTTCCACACACATCAAGCACAACAAACCAYGGGTGTGTGTGCAGACGTCGCAGACATGTGCTCAGACTCCACCATTGTGTAGGAGTTGAGCAACTGTCTCGAGCAGCCGTCTGAACCAGATGTAGAGGTCAGTGAGGGGCAGTATCAGTGTCCCTCTCCCTGTCCCAGCGGAGCTATAGCCGTTATTAATTCTTCCTCTTTAGAGCCCCATAAACTACCGCTGGAGGTCAGAAATGTAGGAAAAAAACAGGTGAAATGGAACGTCAAAGCAGATTTTGATGTGAAATTGTTTTATCCCCTGTTACCATGAAAGGTCAATGTCGTGATATTTTGAGTGTGTTTATCTGTGGATCTGGGGGGATTCGCGCTCGCAGGGGGGGTGGGGGGGTCTGTCATGATGCAGTTTATTTGGCATCTGAAAATACATTTCCTCACAGGTATTTTCAATCTGAAAAGAGCTTCACTGAGTGAGAAGTTAGGTGCTCAGCAGACCGTTTAAGTTTCACTTTCACCGGAGAGCCTGCAGGAGTCATGGGCGCTTAATAGGGGAGGTGTGTGTGTGTGTGTGTGTATGTGTGTGTGGGGTGCTCTGCCATGAGGAAGTTCGGCTTAAAGACACGTCCCAAAGGCGTTACTGGTCCCCACCTGTCGTTTTGCTCCTCAGCATAGCTTCCTAAAAACACTGCAGGATTTCTCAAACATGCATGAATGAGTCAGAGCAAGGCTCTGACTCATGTTTTTTATGAGAGTATTACATTATAACATGATATAAAACTCAAAAAAGTTGATATTGCCCTAGATATTTAGCTGAAACTTGGTGTTGTAGTAGCTGAGAGTTATTTTTATTAGCTGGTCTGACTGAGAACTAAGAGATTCTGCAAAACATTTGTTCAAAACTTAGGAATGCAATACTTTATTTTTTCCTTTGTTTCCCAGAGGCAACTGTATCCCTGTTGTATTTGATAATTGTTACACGTGGACTAATAACATTAGTGTTAATATTATTAGAAAACTCTAAAATTACTGACTTATAGTTCGCTTTAACAAAAGAAAATGTTTTAACTCATCTCAATTTGTCACCATTATTTTTCCCATGCTTTTAAAACTCAACATTTTAGGCTATGTGCAAACACTTTAGCTGGCGACAGGCTTGCTTTTGCTTTCGGGTCAAAAGAAATTCCTAAAGTTAACTGTCCAGATCATATATGCGCTATGGGAGTGATTTTCTGGGTGAATATGGCTGGCCAGTGTAGGCCAACACCCACCACTTTCAACTCCCTTTCCAGTCTGCTACCACTTTTTCCCCTGCATCACACATTTTATAATTGCTACTGCAGCAACAACAACTTCATGTTCCCAGAAGTTTAGGTATTGATCTGCAGGATTTCTAAAGCAGAATCCCTCAGGTGACACTGTTTGATCAATGATTCATGTGAGGTAGATCTTGAAGTATTAGGATGCTTTAACATGCTGTGCGCTCAGTAAAGCTTGCCCTGCAAATACAGACAGAACCGAGGTAATTTCCAAAGTAGTCTAAATATCTGGGAACCTCATCAAGGAGAAAAACTGTGCATCTACCTTGTGAGAGTTCCGCTGAATTTGTGTAGACTTGCCAGAGTAGTTATGAGCATGATTTGTTTGATTTTATTCTAGCTTGGAGAAGTACTGCACGTTTGTCCAACTTGGGTCAATTACCAATTGCAAATAATTATTGGTGTTTGTTTTAACTTTCTGAAAGTACCAGATGGTGGCTTTTAGTTTGCTGCCAGGAAACTCAGAGAGTGTCARGTGAGTTTTAAGAAACTCTTTAAAGACGTGTGACTCATGTTTTCACACAATAAGGCCCATCCAAGTTTCTGRGACGCTTGGCAAACCAGCATTTTTTGACATAAAGTGTCAGCTACAAGACTTAAGAGTTATTGCCTGTGTAACTGTTTATATTTAGATCCAGTATATGACCAAAAAGGTTAGGGTTACATTTTCCCTTTAAGGCCCATACTGTAGCAGCAGGGCCGGCCCTAGCCAATGCGGCGCCCAAGCCAAGATATCAGGTGGTACCTCTCGAGTATTTATCCATCATAACTGAGAYTTCCATTATCCTTATTTTATTTACATACTGAGCAACATTACTCTTGACAGTATCATATGATACTTTTATCATGAAATATCCTCTTCACCATAACACCTCATGAATACATAAAAAACAAAGCAGTTGAAAACCCCACAAAACAAGGTGTCTTCATAAACTTGAGTAACCAGTGAGTATTCTACAGACCAAAGCAACCATGCTTTGATAAAAAGAAAAAAAAAACAATTTTTTGTGCTCCATTTGTGGTACTYCCTAGATAGATGGAGCCCTTAGCATTTGCGTATACTGACTATGGTCCTGTGTTGCAGGTTCAGGCAAAAATGTCTCATGTTGTGTATTTTTAATTGGAAAGCTACTARATAAAAAGTTTTAATGCCAAACTCAGTGTCTCAAATATTTCTGTATTGCATAATGTCTATTTATTGGGAAGTTCAACACCCTGCCTGTATTAAATGAATAAATACATAACAWAAATGTTAACCTCAAGTCAAATATATTTTATAGTTTTGTTCTCAATGTGTCTCACATTTATATGTGATCCTGGATGCACTTGAATTTTCATGCATTTTTCAACTCGCCTTGCAGAAGAGTTCTTTAGAACAATGTTTTTAATATATACGGTATATGTTTTATGGGGAACAAAGCTGAAATTCCTCAGGCAACATCTTTAATATTAGTTCTGGACTGTAAAAGTGTTAGCACACTGTCATGCAGGGATTTAWGATGCATACTCAGCTTTGAAATATAGAACATTTTGATTTCTTTTTGTGCCCAGAGAGATCTCAGGGAACTGTCAAAATGTTTTCAGTCTTTAAAATGTAAAAATATTTCACATATTCTATTTTTTCTCTCTTTTGTCCTTTCTCCTAGGATTAACAGAGCCCAGCCATGCCAATAAGAAGCAACAGGTCAAGGCGGAGGGCCTGGATTGGCGTAGCCTATGTCCGTTCAAGTCCGTGCCAACAGAAGCTGCTGTTTCCTTTCTTCATCGCCCTGCTTCAGTCCACAGCTGTTCTCGGAGCGCTGGAACTCCAGCTGGATGAAGGCCAACCAGAGGGGACGATTGTTGGCGACATCAGCGCAGGATTACCACCCGGTGAAACTGCAAGCCTTTATTTCATCTCTGACCACGAGGGCACAGGTGTCGGCAGCGACCTCCACATTGACGAGACCACAGGCATTATTACCACAGCACGCCGTCTGGACCGAGAAGAGCGGGACCACTACAGCTTCATTGCTGTGACGATGACGGGCATCACTATTGAGGTGTCTATTACTGTCAACGACATCAATGACCACGCGCCTGCGTTCCCCAAAAAGAAGGTCGTTCTTAAGATTCCAGAACACACAGCAGTGGGGACTAGGTTTTCCCTGGACCCTGCGACAGATGCTGACAAAGACCAGCTGACCACCCAAGGCTATACCATTCGAGAGGGTAATGTAGGCCAGACGTTCCGACTGGAGACTAAGAGAGGTGCTAACAAGGTTCTGTATCTAGATTTAGTGGTCAATGGGCTGCTGGACAGAGAGAAACGCTCATCATACAACCTGGTCATAGAGGCCTTTGATGGAGGCTCCCCTAGAAGGGTTGGATTCATGACTCTGGAAGTGTTAGTGACTGACATCAATGATCACGCACCTGTCTTTAACCAGAGCAGATACCATGCGATCATTTCTGAAAGTCTCCCACAAGGAAGCAGCATCCTACAGGTTCGAAAACAGTCTTTTTTGAGTTTTTAGGAGGCAACAATTTTTACATTTAAGATATTTCAGTGTTTGATTTGCTTTATCTGCAGGTGTTTGCAGCAGATGAGGATGAAGGAGATAATGGGCTTGTACTTTATGAAATCAACCGCCGCCAAAGTGATCCGGACCGCTACTTTGTCATTGACTTAAAGACTGGGGTTATTACGCTAAATAAACCCTTAGACTTTGAGCTGAAGAGGGTTCATGAACTGGTGGTCCAGGCCAAGGATAATGCCAGCCAGCCCGAGGTAATTGCTTTCAAGCTATTCATTACAACAAAAAGATTATCCATATGACTAACAAAATTGGCATCAGCCTTATTTATCAATGGCTCGGTCAGCTTTTGTGCATTGCTCACTTAAAGTTCATAAATATGCAAGTTATTAAAATTTTTGCAAACATTTTAACGTGATTTTTTTTCTTTGGTGGAAAAAAAGTTAAAACATAGCTTGAAATYACCGTGAATATGATTTGTTATATGAGAACTAATTTAGTTTTACTTTGTTGCTTTGTAGCTCAGACTGATTGGTGCACCAAGTATAATTAATTATTGTGCTATCATTTTTTTCCAGGTGACCAACGCTTTTGTGACCATTCACGTCCGCGACTTTAATGACAACCAGCCCACCATGACCATTATCTTCCTCAGTGAGGATGGCTCTCCGAGAATTTCCGAAGGAGCCCAGCCAGGCCAGTACGTGGCTCGGATATCTGTCACTGACCCAGACTATGGAGAGTATGCCAACGTTAACGTCTCCCTGGAGGGGGGGGATGGGAAGTTCGCTCTAACAACCAAGGACAGCATCATTTACCTGATTTATGTGGACCAAGTCTTAGATAGGGAGGAGAGAGACTCGTATGACCTCAGGGTGATGGCCACAGACTCAGGCACCCCTCCCCTCAGGGCAGAGTCCTCCTTCACTATCCAAGTGACTGATGTCAATGACAACCCTCCTCTGTTTGACCAGCAGGCCTACAGACAGACCATTCCTGAGATTGTGTATCCTGGGTCCTTTGTTCTTCAGGTAACAGCCAGAGACAAGGACCAGGGCCCCAATGGGGACGTGCGATACAGCCTTCTGAAGGGCAAAAACTCTCGCTCTGACTGGTTCTCAATCGATCCAATTACAGGCATCATTACCACAGCGACTGCTCTGGACTTTGAATCAGAACCTGCTCCGAGTGTAACTGTTGTTGCGATGGATGGCGGCCGCCCGCCTCTGTCGTCAACAGTGAAGGTAGACATTGTGCTCCAGGATGTTAATGACAACACACCCGAGTTTTCCAAAAACTTCTACAATGCCTCCATCAAAGAGAACACCGCTGCTGGTACTTGCTTTTTACRGGTAAGAAAGCATTCCTTTCCTCACTTAATCATCTGTTCTGCTCCTTTGTGTCTGTTTTTGCTTTTCAGTTGGTGGGGAAAACTATTTTTATTTCTAATGGTGCTTATTTTTRCTGTCTTGGCCACACTTGTCATACATTATACAGGTGAAACCAAGTAATTTAGTTAGTTTATTTTATGCTGTCTCTTGGCGAAAGTTTGATTTATACGTTATTGAAATGTAACTTGTGTCTTCAGTTGAGAACAGATTYGAACTTCTGTTTCAGAGAACTGTGAAAGAGAATAGTACATCTTTAAWCTCTAAATCACTTTGTTAGAATCCAAAAAGTGCATGTTCTATAAAAAGAGCAGTGCAGCCATTCATTGTCCATTTTAGGAGGGAAAGATTTACAAAGGAAGAGTGAAGAAAGAAATAGAAAACCTGGTTTTCCAAAGCTAATGGGAGGAGGTTCACTCTGTTTTGAAACRTCCTTTTTCTCACCTTGTTGGGTTGTCATAGCATCCAATCTAGCAGTGTGGGGTGMACCCGCGGTATCTGTGCGTTATCTCTCTATAGCTTGACTGTCTTCCTTTTATCATGAGTCCAGGGGCTTGCTTTACTGCAGAGAACTACTCCTGAGAAATGAAAATGGATGGCTTTGTCTTTCAGTCAGGTCTCAACTTGACATCATGGATTGTTTAAAACAAACATTTTTATAGGTTGGTTGTACCTCTCTGACATGATATGTAGGAAAATGGATGAAAAAAATATAGTTTTGATTGTAAGGGAACTATCACTTTAAGTGTTTAAATGATGCAGCATGTGACTGATTTGAAAAGTGACCCTTTTGCTCGGCTGCATTGTTAAACCCCCACACATGAACTCTTTGGACCTTAAYTCTAGTTCCAGCAAAAGTTGTAATCGACAGTTCCTCCTTTTTTTTCTAATCTTAGCTGGCAGATATTCTGGTACTGGGTGCCAGCRTAATCCCACGCCAGACATCACGGGTGGTTTTCCAGTATACTAAAGTGAGTGAATAGGGTTTGATTTGCTCGTTCTTGCACGTTTTTCAGGGTTTGCTGTGACCGAGCCAAGAGTCTCGAAGCAAGAATCTCCCCACAAGGGTTGTGATTTGCAGTATAATGGTAGCTGGTGTAAACTTTTTTGTTTTTTTCCCTCTGTCAGTGGAATATGTGGCTTCTCAGATTGGACACACATGCTCACAAGTGTTACAGCCAAGCTAATAAACTAATGGATCATTTTCCAGATTTGTTCTGTTCTAGCTACTCTTAATTTGGCTATAAGGATGAAATTGTGGAACATTCGATATCCTACTCTGTCAGTTAAAGATGAATTTAAGAACTGGGCCAGCTGATGAAGTAGATAGGTTTTTGGTAAGACATTCTTCAGAATAGATTTGATTGTGAGCTTTTGTGACGTTCCTGAGTTTCAAGATAAACTGTTCTCAGTATTTTACCGATATTTGCTGTAATAATAATCACAGTTTGRATATTAAAATGATCATGCTGGTGTGGTCAGCTTGGTTTGGTTGCTTTGAATGAAGAAAATCTAGACAATGTAAAACAAGAAAATGTATTACCAGACGAAGTACATGAAAATCACACAATTTAGATCAGTCTTGTTTTGATTATACTGTTTCCAGTTTTCTTATTGTCATTTCTTTCTTTCTTCTTCATATCTTTCTCAGTACATCTTGTTGCTTTTTGTCACTGTTTGCCCAGACATACAGACACACACRTTGTGTGTAGGAAGTGTCTTATCAGTTTGGGCACTGTAGTAAGTCTATAATGTGCTGCACTGTTTATTTAACCGCTACACAAAGGAGTTATTTATTTCTTGGTTTCCCTGCTTTCCTTTTCCTCTACTTCCTTCAAGTATTTCCCAGGCATGAGTGGCTGTAATGTGTGTGTGTGTGTGTGTGTGTGTGTGTGTGTGTGTGTGTGTGTGTGTGTGTGTGTGTGTGTGTTGCATTCATATCCGTCATAGCCACTTTCAGAACCCGAGGTGTTAAAAGGTCGTGAGAACAGGGAGAATTATGAATGGTGCATTCAATGATTTGCATCTAAAAGTCATCATATCTTTGTTTAACATGTGGATGATTAGTAGTGCTTTGGAGTTCATGTGGTTACTTTCATGTTTGACTGTTTTCCTTCCATAGTTTATGTCTTTCCAGACTTAAAAAAAATCCAATAACATGCTGATTTTCTGACTTTCACCAAAGCAGAGTGCTGGGWAAGCACTGCCGATTTAATGACTTGCTCACCCTGGTCACGGCGCAAAGACACCACCGGCACACATTAATTTTACGAGACGCAAACTGGACAATGCTAATACGAAAGATGCCAAAATCAGTCCAAGCACAATAAACATCAAAATGCAATCAAAGGGAGMAATTGGGGGGAAATTATGTGCAGTAGTTGAGAACAAGGCATCAAAGCGGAAAGCTCTCATGCAAGCGAGCAGATGTGCAGGTGCATGTCTGCATGCCACACATCTGTCTGTGTGTTACTGCACTCGCCGAAGCCAAGATATCACTTTCAGCAGGTGATGCAGCTCCCCTGTGATGTTCAGCATGTGTTTTTTTTGGTCAAGCTTGTTAAACGGTACTCAATCATCTGGACAGACGCACAGATGTGCTCATAGGGGAGGCACACACAAAGATGGAGAGTTGCTTGTTGAYAAAGCAGAAAAACAGTGCAGGAGTTTAGCAATGTGCGTTGGTAAAATATGGCTTAAACATAGGGGAAAAAGAGGCGTGGGGGTCAGAATAAAAAAGAGAAGTAAAAAAAATTAATTATGTGCACTTGATGCAGTTTTTTATGCATTTTTGAAATTCAACAGTTTTAACCACAATAAAGGAGAAAAACAAGCAGATGTTCAGGGTGTAAAGACTAGCTATAAATGTGATTAAGAGTACTGCACAAATGGCTTTTTTCTTTCATATGCATTTCATCCATATTGCTAATCTGATTTATTTTCATTTATTTATTTTTTGCCCTATGGGACCCATATTGGATTTTTTTTCATGGCAGTCTGATTTTTTTCCAAATCTGACCCAGACCTTTTCAGAATATGGTGCTAAATAGCATACATATCTGATGTTTTTTAATGAAACTGCAGTCTGAATGRTCATGTCACATTTCATCTGATTTTTACATCAGTGAGGTGTGGGTACACAGAGCGAGACAAGTAAACAATAAACTAAACAATCATGTCAGATATTTRATTGGCTCTGATTGCACAACAACCRCAGAATCGACATGCTAACATGTAGCGTCCATGTTTACTTCCGTAAACAGCATGCTGAACGTGATGTCATCTCCTGAGCGTGCAGGTCACAAATAAAGTGTTCACACTGGAGTCTGATGGAGGTCAAATTTAAAATATAATGTGAACATTCACACACACACACACACACACACACACACAAAAAAATTGTATTTGGGCAAAAAAAAATTGGAATTGCGCAGACCTGCAGTGTGAACGTAGCCTATTTTTTTATGCTAAAATAACAAGGAAAGTCATGCATGAACATGTCTGCATTGTGTGGAGATGAATGAAATGAAGCAAAAACATAAAAAATGAAGACAGGTTTTTGTGAACAGGTGGTGTTAGTCCATCTAAATCTTCCACAAAACCAYGTCGACAAACACAGCACGGCTGTCAGAGACCAAATTCAGTAATCTTCACTGCCTCCATTAAAGAGAATACTAATCAAACAAACACATGCTCTTTGAAACTGACTGGATTTATTAAACCAATAATAGATAGAGATGTGGTGACACATTGAAAGCAGGAAGGTTATTCATCTTGTGCTTTTTGTAACACTGAGCCCATCTCCTGCTTGTGTCCTGCTGAGACTAACCCCACCCTCCCATAGAAAACCAAAGCCAGAACAAACCACAGTTCGCATTTGGATTTAGGACAGTCTTCTCAAGCCCAGATTCACAAAAAAAAAAGAAAAAAAAGAAAAAAGCACACTTCAGATTTTATTGGGCTTAAAAAAATGTTGGAAGATGAATTTTATTGTCCAGTTAATGCCTCCAATCCTGCAGKGGCGGCTGTGAAATGTGTAAAAAGTCCCTGCTGCTTTGTTGGAGCTTTGTCTTTTGTGTGTTTTGATTAATCTGTCAGTCTGTGCTGTTTCACTTTGAACCGTGGCTTAAGTGAAGACAGGCTATAGGTTGCAGTAGTCACCACATGCGTCAGTTACATCCAACAGGTGATAAACGCTGACAAAACGCCGGCGTTCGCACACAAAGAGACACCGGAGCGATGGCGTATTTGGCGAATCACATCATGCTGCTAACAGCTGGCTCTGCTCTGACATGCTAAGTCTCCGTGGTACACATGCTGTCTATTTCTCACCAACTCACACGTCTCTCAGCTGCAGGCGATGTTGACAGAATGAGTGTGACAAGGGATCAGGATGGTGTGTCGGCAATGTGAACTATTCTCATAACATCCATCATCACACACTGGGAATTCATCACCTGCTTCCCACTGGAGGCTCCGACGCCACAAATAAAATCTGTGCTCGTAAAATTAATAGAGAATGAGGCTTGTTTTTAATAGGCTGAAGTTTATACCTTCATCAGGAGATGGGTTGGGGTTTTATTTACCTTTTAGTTACAAGTGAAACATGTTTACCAGTTTGGTTTATTTAAATATATATAT